CTAAATTGTGGTGATTTGTCATGCAGCAATAGACAACTAATATAGGACCTACACACTTGTTATATTATTTGGACTTAACTAGTAAACAGAGCCTAGGGGTGCCAAGAACAAATTACTGAGAGAGAGTGGCCTGAACTGAGAAAGTTTGGGAATCTCTGGTTTAGATGAATCAGAGCTTACTCTGGGAGCTGAGGGTGGGGTCAATCCTGCTGTCTTAGTTAAATAGTGCTGCTATGATAGAAACATCACAAGTGGGTGGCTTTAACAAAGAAACTTATTTTCTCAGAGTTTAGGAGGCTAGAAGTTGGAATTCAAGATGCTGGCTGTAGAGGAAGGTTTTCTCTGTCGGCTCTGGAGGAAGGTCCTTGTCTCCTTTGAGCTTTTGCTCCTGGGTGATCTTCATGTGGCTTGGTATTTCTCTTCCCCCATCCCTGCTTCTCTTGCTTGCTCATTTAATCTCTTTCATATCTCAAAAGAGATTGATTTAAGACACATCCTACACTAATCCTGTCTCATTAACATAACAAGACAACCCATTCCCAAATGGGATTATAACCACGGGTATAGAGGTTAGGATTTGCAACACGTATTTTTGGGAGGACACAATTCAATCCCTAACACCCACCTAAACTGAATGGCTGCTATTCAATTGGGAAGAGTGGGGAGAAAAACAACAAATGTACACATCAGTAAGGAAAGAATACAAAGAAATCAAATACACAGTACGGGAACTGATATTAATTCTGGAGATAATAATAATAAAAAAAAAAAGATGCAATTAAAAATAGAATGAATGATATGAATAACTTTTTGACAATGGAGAGTAAAAGAGAACTGAGATCAGAGGGCTAACATATAGATAATTCCTTTTCCTGAAGGAGAATCAATAAATAGGTCAGAAGCAATAATAAGATACTTAACAGAAGAAAAGCCTGTGTAGGCAGTTGAAAGGACTCATTATGTTGTAGGAGGAATCCAATAGAACTTTTGAATTATATGTATGAAGACAAACATAAACATTCAAGCAGAAAAATCAGAATCTAACAAAACATTTTTATACTATTAAAAAAAAACAACAACTATGAGCATCCAGGCAGAAAAATCAAATTGCCCTCAAAGGAATAAATGCCAGATTGGACTCAACCAAAACTTCAGCAACAAAACCTTTCCTTCCAGCCATCCTGACCATGCTCTCCTCTCTCAGCATTCAGCTAAACTGGCCTTTTAGTTCTTCACATATGCTGTGTTCTTTCCCGCCTTACAACCTTTTAACTTTGTTTCCCTTCTGGGGAAATTTCTTCCACCTCTACTTCCTACCCCTTTGCTTATTTAATTCCTACTTTCCCTGCAGATGTCAGCTCAACCATCACTTTTGAGGAAACATTTATGACCTCTCTGCCTAGACAAAACCAGTGGTACACGGGGCTATGACAGCATATTAGGGAGATTAATCCAGTTTGTACTTAATCCAGTTTGCTCCCTGTAGATCTCTAGTCCTTACCATAATGGATTTTACTGAGTGAAATGGGGAGTCATTGGTGGATAATCAGAAATGACTGTTTTAAAAGATTCACTCTAGCTGTACAATAGGCTGTAGGGGGGCAAAGGTGGAAGAAGGGAAACCACTTACAAGGATACTAGTAATTTAGTCCAAGAGCTGATAGAAGGTGGTCAGAATTTAGCTGTTCTGAAAGCAGAACCAACAGGATTTAGATTGGATGTGGGATGTGAGAGAAAGGAGTCAAGTATGACTACAAGTTTTTTTGAGGGTCTGAGCAACTGAAAGAATGGATTTGTCACTAGCTAAAATGGGGAAGACGGTGGGTAAAGCAGGTTTGGAGAAAGATGAGGGTTTCAGTTTTGAATATAAGTTTGAAGTGGTTACTTAGACATATAATAAAGATATCAAATAGGCAGTTGGTTATACAAATCTGATATCCAGGACAGAGGTCTGGAAAGAAAGCTAAAAATTTGAGTTGTCAGTATGTTTCTAATATTAAGCCATGAAACTGGATGAGATCACCAAGAGAGTGAGTATAAATAGAAAAGCAAACCCATGACCAAGACCTGGGGTATTTAAATGTTACGAGGTTGGGGAGAAGAGAATCAACAAGGAGACTGAGCATGAGCAGTCAATGAGGCAGGAGAAGTGTAGTCTAGAAGTGAAAGTATATTAAGAAAAAAAGGAGTCAGACAACTGGCTGGTTTCTTTAATAAATCAATGTCATAAAAAAATGGAGACTGTGCTAAATTAAAGAGTTCTACAGCAAGATAATATGCATAGGCCTAGATTTGATACTGCTTTGGAAAAATCAGCTTTAAAAAATATTCTGGGGTCAAAACTGGAGTATCTGAATTTGGCTTGAGTATTAGAAGACATTAAAATTTACTGAAATTGGAAGGTGAATATTATTGACTTGAAGATTGTTTCAGAATAGTAGGACTTCATTTTAGTAAAAGCATATATGTATATATATAGGGCACAGAGAAAGATGGGAAAGAATATACACTGAGGTGGTAATGGTGATCTCTGGATGATAGGAATGTTGTTTTAATATTTTACTTTGCTGTATTTTCTAATTTTCTACAATGCACATACACTCCTATAATAAAAACTGTTTACATTTTTTTTCTGAGGAAGTACTGATTCATAAAATTATATTCTGCTGATAGGTAAATTAAGATAAGGACTGACCATTTGATCATTGGATCTAGCTAGCAATGTGGAAGTCATAAGTGATGAGATCTGTTTTGGTGGTGCAGGGGAAACAAAACCTGACTGGAACAATTCGGCAGTTCCTCAAAATGTTACTGAGTTACCAAATGCTTCAACAATTCTACTCCCAAGAGAACTGAAAACGTATGTCCACACAAAAACTTTTACATGAATGTTCATAGTAGCTTTACTCTTCATAGCCCAAAAGTGAATATAACTCAAATGTCCATCAACTGACGAATGGATAACCAAAATGTGGAATATTCATACAATGCAATATTACTCAGCAATGAAGTACTAATGCATACTACAACATGAACTTTGAAAATACTAATGCTAAGTGAAAGAAGCCAGTCATAAAAGAAAATGTTTTGTATGATTCCACTTGTATGTCAAGGATAGGCAAATCCAGAGAAAGTACATTAGGAGTTCCTGGGTAGTGCAGTTGTACTCTGTCCTGTAGGATTGCTACTCTGTCCTACAAGTCAACTCGATAGCAATGGGTTTGGTTTTTTTGGGTGGTGCCAAGTTAATCACTTCACTACTAGCCAAAAGTTTGGCAGTTCAAACCACACACAGGTGTCTCAGAAGACAGATCTTGTGATCTGATTCTGAAAGGTCACAACCTTGAAAACCCTATGGAGCACAGTTCTACTGTGACACACATGGGGTCGCCATAAGTTGGACATCAACTCCAGGGCAACTTAACAAGAGGGCTGGATGGAGGGAAGAACGGGGAGTGACTGCTAATGGGTCTAAGGTTTGTTTCTGGAGTGATGAAAATGTTCTAAAATTAGTGTTGATGGTTGCACAACTCTGTGAATATAGTAAAAACCACCGAATTGTACACGTTAAAAGGGTGAATTTTATGGTATATGAGTTATCTCAATAAAGCTGTTATTTAAAAAAAAGAAAACAGGAGAATCTAGTTGTTTGCTTTTGTTTCACTCTATTTTCTGGTTAACTGTTTCCCATTTTGCTGCCAATGTTCAGGGTTTTTTGACCTCTAAAACCATCTCTTACTTCCAGAGATTTGTTAATCGCTTTCCATAACCTTATCTTCCCTTCTCCTTTTATTTTTTTCTTCTTATACTTCTAGTTGCATTTTATTTTAAGCCGAATTTACTCCCGAGCCCTAAGTTTTCGTTCCTTGAGTTTCTTCTGGGATATCTTTTCCTTCTGTGTAACTTCCTCTTCTGGTTTAGGAACAATTTGTTCCTTTTCAGTAAGAATCATCTCAGCGTGGCAAGGGGAGCTCACGTATGGGTTTATTACACCATGAGCTCTGTAAAATGTGGCAGCACATCTTGGGGGCTTTATTCACCTGCATGTGCTCAATGACCAGAGAATCTACTTCTAAATCCTTAAGTTTGGCATTACTCTCTGCGTTTTTAAGGATGTGCAGCAAAAATTCAGCACTCTTTGGGTCATCGACCCTGTGTCCAACACCACTGTTTGGCCGGGGCACACCTACCAACTCCACCATTGTAACATCGGAGTGGCACACTTTCTGCAAAGTGACATTTTTCAGATACTTGGTGGCTTTTTCTATATGCATACCCTTGATGGCCTGGGCAGTTTCACGGGTGTTCTTAAAATGGACCCAAAGATTTGAACCTCTTGATCTGCATGATTTTGAGGGGTCTTCTGGGTCAAGTGAGTAGCGAGCCATTTTGTGAGATGACCTCAGGCCACTTACGGGAACAGTCCCCTTTCTCCTTTTTAATCTCTACCACACATCGCTCCCAAACCCTCCCAAATAAAAAATTAACCAAACAGAAAAATGTCTTCTATTAAGAGAAACTACAGATTTTTAAAAAAGTGATAAATGTGGCCATTGTCCAGATTTTTTTCCTTAAATTTTATTTTGTTGTTGAGAATATACACAGTAAAACATACACCAATTCAACACTTTCTACATGTACAACTTACTGACATTGATTACATTCTTCAAGTTGTGCAACAATTCTCATCCCCCTTTTGAGTTGTTCCTCCCCCGTAACATAAACTTGCTGTCCCCTAAGGTTCCTATCTAATCTTTCAAGTTGCTGTTTGTCTATATGCGATCAAACTGATGACTTTAGGGGATATTTTTGGTTTAAGGTTTAAAGATTATCTCAGGGCAAAAGATTCAAGAATCCATCCACCCTCCATGGCTCCATAAAGTCTAGAGTCCATGAATATTTGAAATTTTGTTCTGCACTTCCCCCCTTTTGATCAGGATTCGTCTATGGAATCTTTGATCAAAATGTTCAGTAATGGCACCCAGGCACCATCTAGTTGTTCTGGTCTCCTGGCAAAGGAGGCAGTTGTTCGCGGAGGCAACTAGCCACACATTCAATATTCTCTTCCTATTCCTGACTCTCCTTCTTCCTCTGTTGCTCCAGGTGAATAGACACCAACTGTTATGCCTTACCAGATCTACTTTTCATTTATTCCAAGTAAAGTGTGTACATGTTCAACAAAAGAGAGAGATGTATCTGCCTAGGAATAATAACCTATCACCTTAAGAAAACATTACATCATATAGCCTGAATTCTGAAACCTGTTTTGGATTATATAAAACTGCTCTGCAAGTTAAAAAACATTCTTAAGAATGTCTGAATATTTAATAATGCTGCTGTAATATATTTTCTTTCATTAAATTTTTTAAAAATTACAACATATGTTGAGTAGAAGCTATCTTCATTTTATGGGTAAAGAGACAAAGTGAGTACATATACAAGCCCATTGGCAAAGCTAAGTTTAGAGCTGGTTTTCTCTCTAGGACTGCAGAAAGTCAATACTACACAATAATTATCTATTGTTGGAGTTAAACACCTGAGCAATTTAACTATTAAAGATACAAACAACAATAGCAAAAATATTCAAACTTGGGGAATTCCAATTAAAATAAGTGAAAAATACAAATCTTTTCCTTCCAAAAAAGGCATCTAAGACAAAGGTTCAGATATCCCATGTAGATTATTCACAGAAGTCATATGTTAATCAATCTCTTCTGTATCCTTTAAATAAAATTTTACAATCCAGTGATGAAAAACAAATTGCATATTCAAAGACATTTTCAGAATGCATCTATAATTAACTTAGTACAAAAGTATACGGAAAAAACCAGGTATTCACTGAAGTCTTTAAGTTTAGCTACATTTTGTTATTTTTGGTGCATCTTCTTACGTATTTCTTCAAGAGCTGCTTCTTTCTCTCTCAGCACCTGCTTAAGTCTTCTTATTTTTTCATCTCGAATGGTTTCTTCTAACTCTGGTGGTGTCATGGGGAAAACGTCTTCAGTATAATAATTTTTATTAAAGGAATGACTTTGTTCAAAAGTTGCATTTGAATTCAATGTGCCTTTCTCCTGGTTATCATGAATACAATGGTCTACCTCAGTTCTCTTTCCTTCTCTGGTTTTCTTGTGGCTTGTGAGACTGTTATACTGTGATACCTCTGAAGTTGGTAAAATATTGCTAAGGAGTTGGGAACTGGTGACATTGGTTTCTCCATTTATAGCTGTGTTACAAGTACTCTCCGTTTTTCTCTTCTTTGTATAATACATCTTCTTAATGGTTTTTGCTTTTCTTTTTTTATCAAAACCCTGTTGCAATGTTGAGTAGGATTCCAAAAGAAAAACAAAATGTTACTGCCATACAGATAGTGTGCTCTCAAATTCAACAAAGTGTAGATGTAAATATTTAGCAATTAAATTCAATTAAAAATTTGTATTTGGGACAATTAAAGCAGAAAAGAAATGCTTACCAAAATGAATAACAATATTTTACTGATATTCACTGACATTAAATTGCTTAACATTTTCCTGCTAAAATCAAGTATTAGAAGCAGTACTGACCTACAGCAAAATATAAAGTCTGAGAAATACAACTAATATGGAGAATGTTCATTCAAGAATCAGTAACTGATTGGTCTCTGATCTGAAGTTCAGTATATTAAACGATATAATAATGACATATTCATAAGTAGGATGACGGCAGGCAAAGTTATAGGGGCGTTTCTTTTCATCATTGCCCATGTAGGTTGCTTAAAACGTCTGCGTTATGAGTAACGCTGCAATGAACATCTGAATGCTTAAATTTTCCCTACACTTGATTATTTCCTTTAGAGAGATCTTAAAATAGGATAACTAGTTCAAAAACTATGGCTATTTTATTATAATTTTATAATGGAAACAAATAACCAGTAAATGAAATAAAAACAGTTAAAACAACATCTTTGAGAATGCATTTTTACCTGTACATAAATGGTCTTCTTAACACTGTCTATAAACTTGGTATAATACATATATGTGCAAATTTGGTGGTAACTATCATTTGTATTAACGAACAAAACTAGAAAAAAATCAAATCAAGACAATTAATATATTCATACATCTTTGTAGTACCTACAAAGGGCACTGTAAAATTACCTGTTTTCTCTCTTCCTTCTCCACCATCAACTCTGACTTTTTGTAAGTATCACCCTTCACCAAACTGGTAAAGGCATCAAAACTTTTTCCAGAGTCCAGATGGTCAGGAATTCGAGTAAGGCACACTCTCAAATCTCTAGTGAGGCCAAATATCTTTTTAAATTCAGCATCATTCTTCAGACATAGTGCCTTATTACTCCCTTCTTGAGTATCTTTCATATCATTTCTTTCTTTCTTATCTTTTTTTAATGTCGATGCCATTTCATTCTGGATCTGAAATTAAGAAAGAAAACAAACAATACTGCAAATTACTCAAACTATTTTATCAGACCAGCAACTAAGTGATTACCCCATCTTACACAAAATAAAACATCTTAAAATACTAAACGGTTGGGTTGCATTACCCTTGCCTTACTATCTACACTCCAAAAACTGAATTTAACAGAGTGAAAACATAAAATGTTCCCCTATAACTTCTCATTTATTTTCATTTCTTGTACTTTAAAAGTAACAGGTGGTCAATTCTCAATCAACTAAAATAAGAATACAGACTAATGACAAGTTAAAAATAATCTATGTGACATTATTTAGAAATTATAGTCGTCTTGAAAAGTCTTATGCCTTAAATCAATCTTGTACATAGCAATTAGTAGTTCCCTCCTTGCATCTCTGGAGTTCAATGAACTTTTTACTCAAGGGGAGAAATGCTGACATTATTAAACAGACCATTACATAAGCAAGGAAAAGGTGAATACAAATATTTAGTGAGCATAGACACACAAATCTTAAATAGAACAAAAAGGTAATTATGTGGGTATGTTGGGTAACTGGATGAGAAGTCAAGAGTACAAAATGAAGGAAACTTGTCTACTTAAAAAAAAAAAAAAGAACCTTATCAAAGATGTGATAAAATCTTATTTCCACAAATGACTTAGAGGCACTGATTTGACTAGTCCTAGCCCTCTTTCAAACCTTTCTACCAAAAAAAAAAAAAAAAAAAATCACTATCTCCCCTCCCCCCAAAAGGAAAAAAAACAAAACAGCTCTCCTGTATGCATAACACTGATCTCTTCATATACTAAAACTAAGCTATTAAATATACATGTATATGTATGTTTGCACAGAGTACCTGGGTGGTGTAAATGGTTAACACACTAGGCTGCTAATCGAAAGGTTGGAGGTTCGAGTATGCCCAGAGGTGCCTTGGAAAAAGGCCTAGCAATCTACTTCCGGGGCAGGGGGTCAGGGGGCAGCCAGTGAAAACCTTATGAAGCACAGTTGTATTCTTGACACATGTAGGGTCACCATGAGTCAGAATCTACTCAATGGCAACTGTTTTTTTAAATGTATGTATACATACATATACATACACACACACACAATTTTACTAAGCTTTAAATACATATTAACATTCCCCAACTTTTCTAAATCTGGTTACTCTGTTATTTTTTTGTTTTAAAAGATTTGGCATTACAAATGATTCAAGAGAAAGATATTGCTTGAAAGCTCCTAATTATATACTTTCTCAAACATTTCCTCAATTGAAAGCTTTTACTCAAGCATTCATGTGTGTTCATGTGTGTATGGTATGTGTGTGATGGCATGGGGTGTGGCGGGAAGAACGAGGTATCTCAGATAACTTTGAGAATAAAAAACATTTTTCTATATAGATACATAAAAAGAATACCCTAACATGGTAAAATTACCTTTGGTTCTTGGTCTCTGAAAACACCCTGTTGTGAAGGAACAGTTGTTGCATCAATAGAGGAATTTATTTTCTCTATGCTCTGGATGATATTTCCTTTTCTGGGGGTATTCTGTCCTGTACTAAATCCATCTGGAAAGACTGGCTTTGTGAATAAAGTCTTATATGGTTTTAAGCAGTTAATGGTTTGGTTCATATTATGTGGGTTTAGTGTAGAAAGAGATGGTTGCTCCACCTTTTTATTCTTCTCTGCCCTTAGACTGGCCATGGAAGCAACTTGGATATTTGAAAGTGATTTTGTCTCCATCTGGGAAGATTTACTTTTTGCCAAGACAATATTTACAACCTCTCTAGATATGTCTGTGACTGGACTTGAACTCACTATCTGTGATGTGTCTTTTCTTGGCAGAATATCAGGAGAAATAGAATTCTGTTGGTCAATTTGTGACGGCAAAACATCTGACCCCTTTTTAGCCAACAGATAGACTTTCCCATTAAACATAACCAAAGCATTATCTTTAATAGGTATACTTTTGGACTGCGTCCCACTAGGACTGATGGTACTCAATGGTGGCATATTTACAGTGTTGTCTCCCAAATTTTTCCTATCTACAAACGTTTTTAAAATCTTTGAAGCCACATTATTTGAAGACTTAACAGGAACAAGTGATGGAGTACAAGGCTGGAGGGTTTCTTGAAAAATCCATTTCACTGGAGCAGCTTGAGAATGTTGACCACTTTTTGTCTCTGTAGCAACATTCATTGGAATTTGTGTGGTACTTAGTATCACTGGATTTGCTATTTCTGTTACAGGTTTTGGGTAAATGTTTTGAAAGTTCTTGGTAACTACATTTTTCACTGTTTTTACAGGAGATACATAAATTACAGTTGGTATTTGGGAGGCCTCAACTGTTCCTGAGGTACTTGTGGCTGCAGCTGCAAGTATCTTTTGCTGAACTGAAGGAGGCAACGATGACGCTGGTACAGATTTCACTTCAGCATGGGCTGGAATCTGTAAATGATGCCCAGAAGGCAAAACTGGAGACTTCACAGTCATTGGAAGACTCTGAGTATTTACTAAAATATAAGATGAATCATTTTGTGTTGAGGGAGGAACAGCAAATGTTTGCATGGTGAGTCCATCAATTTTCACACCATGACTCTGAACTTTAGAAACTGATGAGGTAAAATTTTTAGTTCCCACAGAAGTAACTCTAACTTTTTCTGATGCATCTACTGTTCTTGTAAGAAAGTAGTTTGTAGAACTGGCTGGCTGAAAAACAGGCAGCTGAACTGATGCACTTGTGGAAGAGCTGGAAATCTGAGTCTGAAAAGTAACATGAACTGGGCTTCCTGTATTCCCTTTCAAAGCATCAGACATGACTGAAGATTGAACTAGTGGTATAAGATTTCCAGAGGAATTAGGAATTGGAAGTAACTGCAGAAGATTTTTTCCATCCGAGCCAATCGTCTGAACTACTTGGTACATGCAGCCTGAAACACTTAAAAGAACATTATGAGTAAATAAAACAACATACTACATGGTATATACATTTTATTTTAAAAAAAAAAACTTGCAAATATTATTTTAAATGTAAAAATTTATAATAAAATATAATAAATTATATAATTTCTCATTTTGAGTTTTCAAACCAAAATACCGTAAAAGATTTTGAAATAGAAGAGACAAAGATATAATCAGCTTTGATTTAGATCTTATGACATGATTAGGCAATGGGAATGAGATACTAACATTTATTCCTAAAACTAAAAGTAGACTCTTCTAAGATGTTATCCTGCAAAAAGTTACGTGTGCTACAACAGGCTCCTCTTAAAACTGTTAGCATCCTTCCGTTCCCCTCTTCCTTGAATTCTCATTTAACCTCCACTTATACTTAACTCTCCCTATGGGGCAGTTCTACTCTGCCCTACAGGTTCTCTATGAGTCAGAATGGACTCAACAGCAACAGGTTTGTACTTATTCTATCTCCTTCACTCCATTTTTTTTTGGGGGGGGGGTCCCTAATCTGTTCTTTTTCCCAGAGATAATGACTCACAAATTATACTGTCAACCATTCTGTTGCTTAAGATATCTCTTACAGTGATCCTTAGTGTGCCACATTTTTGTATTGTAGGCTAAACTAAGTTACTCACGTAGGAACCATTTTCTTGTTTCATTATTGTTTCAGCACATGTGAGGTTTGGGGCTCACATGGCCATTACTTATATTAATTCCAATTGCCTATCAATCCATACACACAACGCACCACAATTCAGATAAATGGTTAGTTTTCGATGAATGCAGAAGAGACTGGAAGTCAATGAAATATTTTTTACCTAGCCAATTCTGATCTTAGTACTTACGAGCTACTTCTTAGTACAAATTGTCTGCTTTTAAGAAAAGCCAATATATACTAATCCTTGTTTGTAAAAATCAATTATTTGGTAATTACTTAAATGCGGACACTTTATTTATACTAAAACTCCTTTCAGTTCCTGGGAAATACCAAGGTCTCATGGGACTCAGGGTCATTACACACGCTATCTCTCTAGCTAGATACTCCTCCTCCACCCAACTCTTCACATGGCTCAATTCTCAGCATAAATGATACTTTCCAAGAGATATCTTTTCGGACCACCTTAACAACCCCTTCCCCTCCTTTGTAATTATCCATATTACATCCGTTAATTTCCTTTGCTACATATCACAGGTTGCAACATCTTAATCTGTCTCTCATGTTACACTCTGAGTAACCTGAGTGTAGAGTCCATAGGCTTATTGGACCAGTACTGGTCTTACATAACTAGAATCAAATGAAGATGAAAAACTCAAGGGCAAAAAAAAAAAAATCAGCATTCTCAACAGTATAAAAGTATGTTTTAATACCTACAGGTGTTTTTAAAACCTTCATGAATTAATAAAAATCAATGCTAAAAATGCCATGCATCCTAGAAGTACTGAAATTCAGTTTTATCCTTCTGCAAACAGAAATAACATCATTATATCTTTACAAAAATTTAAATCAGTTTTGTGGCCACTTGATAGTGCTTCAAAATGTTACACTGAATTTTCATAAACTAAGATTTAATCTCTAAACAGAAGCATGAACCCAAACAAAAGTATGAATTCTTGCTCTCAGGACTCAAGGAAACTCCACCTTCACTACTCCCTCACCACCAAAAAAGCACATATGAACTGGGGTCAGAACTTAGTCAGCATTAACTCATTAACAAAAATGTACTGAGTTATGGTCAGGCAGCAGGTTCAGTTTGGGAAAGTGACTATAGTCTGTGGGCCAATCTGGCTTGTTGCCTGTTTTTGTGCAACCCACAAGCTCAGAATGGTTCTTGTATTTTAAATTACTGGAAAAAAATCAAAATAATAATATTTTGTGACATATGAAAATTATATGAAATTCAAATTTCATTGTTCATAAATAAAGTTTTATTGGAACACAGTCAAACTCATTTTTCACATACTACTTATGGCTGCTTTTGAGCTACAATGGCAGAACTGAGTAGTTGCAGCAGAGATTAGATGACCCACAGAGCCTAAAATATTTACTATCTGGCCCTTTACAAAAAAGTTTGCTGGCTCCCAAGCTAGGTCAACCCACAACGCCTAAAATAATTCAAACTAGTGGACACATGGACATGTGCATAGGCAATTATAACTAAATGACTTCAATGATGTATTTGCATAAATATAAAATGCTTGCTTCTCTTCTTAAAATATTCTCTTCCCAAGGATTCCAAGATATGTCGTTCTCCTACCTCTATCGTGACTCCTCAGTATTCTTTGCTAACTCATCCTACTTGAATCAACCTTCAAATGTTGGAGTTCACCAAAGCTTGGGCCAAACTTCTCTTTCTATTCTGTATTCTTTCCCCAGATTACTTCTTTTCTTTGCATGACTTCAATTACCACTTACATATCAACAATCCCAATATTTGTATCTGTACCTCCTTTGAGATTCAGGCTTATATACCCAACTTTCCTCTTTATACTTCCATTTAGAATCTCAAGGACACCTAAAACTCAAATGACCAGAAGATCTCTGCTCCCCTCCCCCTATTCCTTCTCCTCCAGGTTTTTTTCTTTGCTAAATAAATGGCACGACCATCTATCTTAGATGCCTAAGTTAGAGCAAGTAATTCCTGTTTTCTTGCCCTCTATATATCAATCCATCACAAAATTCTATTGCTATTATCTCTTAAATTTCCCTTAACCTGTTAAATTCTTTCCAAATAAACTGTCACCACTCTAGTCCAGGTAAACATACCTCTGGCTTAGACTGCTACAGCAGCTTTGTAACTAGTCTTCTTGGCTTCAGTCATATCCTCTCCCTTTCAATTCATTCAGCACACTAGATCTGGTCTTATGTCACTTCCCTGCCTAAAACATTTCAATTATTCAGTTATATACAGACAACTTTCTTATGAACTGACTGTAAAGAGGAAGACAAAGACTAGCAAGGAGTTGGAGGAGGAAATGGGGCCTCAGAAAGGATCTTTCTTATTCTCTTTTTTTAAGGTTGGATGGACCACATCATATATAAATGCTTACGTGAACTGGTCAAGAGGAAGAGACTGATAATAAGAAAGAAGAATAATCAATAGTGTAAGGTCTGAGGAGGAAGGAAATGGGATCTAGAAGATGTTGTAATTAGGTGCCATTGAGTTGGTTTTGACTCATAGTGACTCTGTGAACAACAGAACGAAACACTGCCCAGTCCTACGCCATTCTCACAATCATCGTTATGTTTGAGCCCATTGCTGCTGCCACTGTGTCAATCCGTCTTGTCGAGGGTCTTCCTCTTTTTTGCTGACCTTCTACCTTACCAAGCATGATGCCCTTCTGCAGGGACTGGTCCCTCCTGATAACATGTCCAAAGTACGTGAAATGAAGTCCCATCATCCTCGCTTCCAAGGAGCACTCTGCCTGTACTTCTTCCAAGACAGACTTGTTTGTTCTTCTGGCAGTCCATGATATATTCAATATTCTTCACCAACATCATAATTCAAAGGCATTCTTTTTTGGTCTTCTATTCATTGTTCAGCTTTTGCATGAATATGAGGCAACTGGAAATATGGCTTGGGTCAGGTGGACCTTAATCCTCAAAGTGACATCTTTGCTTTTCAACACTTTAAAGAGATCTTTTGCAGTAGATCTGCCCAATGCAATAGATCATTTGATTTCTTGACTGCTGCTACCATGGGCGTTGACTGTGGATCCAAGTAAAATCTAGAAGACAAGTGGAAGGAATGGACTTTGGAGACTGCTGGAGAAACATATCCTTCCACTGGAACTGGAGAGGATGGGTGCATTTACAGGTAGGTGCATGGCTTTGGTGTCAAAAGGTTAAGGCAATTCTTATAGAATAGCTTTTATTTTCTCTATGAAAAAGGACATGACATCATCTGCTAAGAACAAAAACAAGGGAGAGATCTGAGAAGAACCAAGAAGTTCTGAACGGTCTTTGTGAAAGAATAAGGTGACCACAGAAAACAATAGGGTCGCAAGGCAGTGTTAATGGTCAAGGGAAATAGGCAGTAATTATGAATTTATAGTGATACCAACCTATGCTCTTGTGAGATTTTGTCTCACTAGGTATAGGCAAAGAGAGAGCAGACAGATGAGTTCATCCAGGGTTTGGGTGGCTTCAGAAGGGTGAAACAAAAATCAAAGAGAAGCAAAGGAGTTTAGGGTGTTGACGAAAGTTATTAAAATGATGAAACAATCTACGCTAGATGAGAGGGAAACAGTAACACATTAACGGCCAAAGTATAGGGAGAAAAAAAGGGATTATTGCACTGGAAGGCTTGGTAAAGTTAAAGAACAGTCATGGTGGGAATACTTAAACAAGTAATTCAGAAATATAGGAAGTGGTGTTTACAAAGCAGGATGCACCAATTTCATCCGATAACAAGGTCACCATTCGTCTGTCAGTTTGTCATATTGTGGTGGCTTGGTGTTGCTGTGATGCTGGAAGCCATGTCACCAACATTTCAAACACCAGCAGGGTCACCCATGGTGGACAGGTTTCAGCAAAGCTTCGGGACTAAGACTGGGAAGAAGGACCTGGCAATTTACTTCTGAAAAAATCAGCTGGTGAAAGCCTTATGGATAGCAGCGGGATATTGTCTAATGAAGTGCCAGAAGACGAACCCCTCAGGTTGGAAGGCACTCAAAATATGACTGGGGAAAAGCTGCCTCCTCAAAGTAGAGTCAACCTTAATGACATGAATGGAGTAAAGCTTTCGGAACCTTCATTTGTTGATGTGGAAGGACTCAAAATGAGAAGAAACAGCTGCAAACATCCATTAATAATCCGAACATGGAATGTACGAAGTATGAATCAAGGAAAACTGGAAATTGTCAAAAAAAAAAATGGAACGCTTGAAGATCAATATCCTAGGCATCAGTGAGCTGAAATGGACTGGTATTGACCATTCTGAATCACAATCATATGGTCTACTATGCCAAGAATGACAAATTCAAGAGGAAAGGTGTCGCATTCATTGTCAAAAAGAACATTTCAATCTATTTTGGTTGAGTAGCAACTGGGGTCTCAAAAGCTTGTAAGCGGCCATTTAAGATACTCCACTGCTCTCACCCCATCTGAAGCAAGAAAACCAAAGACACAGGGGAAAGAGTACTCCAAAGGACTAATGGACCACAACTACCATAGCCTCCATCAGAATGAGTCCAGTACAACTAGATGGTGCCCAGCTACCACCATCGATTGCTCTGACAGGGATCGCAACAGAGGGTCTCAGACAGAGCTGGAGAAAAAAGGAGAACAAAATTCTAACACAAAACAAAAGACCAGACTTACTGGCCTGAGACTAGAGAAACCCCAAGAGTATGGCCCCCGGACACCCTCATAGCTCAGTAATGAAGTCACTCTTGAGGTTCACCCTTCAGCCAAAGATCAGACAGGCCCATAAAACAAAACGAGACTAAATGGGCACACCAGCCCAGGAGCAAGAATGAGAAGGCAGGGGTGGACAGGAAAGCTAGTAATGTAGTTATGTGGAACCCAATGTCAAGAAAGGGAGAGCAGTGACATGTCGTGGTGTTGGCAACGAATGTCACAAAACAATATTCATATTGTTTAATGAGAAACTTGTTTGCTCTGTAAATCTTCACCTAAAATACAATTAAAAAAAAGAACATTTGAAGATCTATCCTGAAATATAACGCTGTCAGTGATAATTTATATGCCTATAAGCAAGAAGAGTTAATACAACTATTATTCAAATTTACATACCAATACTAACACCAAAGATGAAGAAATTGAAGATTTTTACCAACTTCTGCAGTCTGAAATTGATCAAACATGCAATCAAGATGCATTGATAATTACTGGTGATTGGAATGTGAAAGTCGGAAACAAAGAAGATCGGTACTTGGAAAATATGGCCTTGGTAGTAGAAACAACGCGGGAGATCTCATGATAGAATTCTGCAAGACCAATGACTTATTCATTGGAAATATCTTTTTTCATCAACAGAAATGGCGACTATACACATGGACCTTGCTGGGTGGAACACACAGGAATCAAATTGACTATGTCTGTGGAAAGAGACGATGAAGAAGCTCAATATTTTCAGTCAGAACAGGGACAGGGGCTGACTGTGGAACTGACCTATCAACTGTTTATATGCAAGTTCAAGCTGAAACTGAAGAAAATTAAAACAAGTACACGAAAGCCAATGACCTTGGGTATATCCCACTTGAATTTACAGACCATCTCAAGAATAGATTTGACACACTGAACACTAATGATCAAAGACCAGACAAGCTGTGGGATGACATCAAGGACATAACACATGAAGAAAGCAAAAGGTCATCAAAAAGACAGGAAAAAAAGAAAAGACCAAAATGGATGTCAGAAGAGACTCTGAAACTTGTTCTTTAACGTAGAGTAGCTAAAACGAAAGGAAGAAATGATCACGTAAAAGAGCTGAACAGAAGACATCCAGGGGAAGGCTCGAGAAGACAAAGTATTATAATGTTGAATGACGCACGAAGCATCAAAAGAAGATGGAAGGAACACACAGTCACTCTACCAAAAAGAACTGGTTGACGTTCAACCCTTTCAGCAGGTAGCATACTATCAAGAACCGATGGTACTGAAAGAAGTCCAAGCTGCACTGAAGGCATTAGCGAAAAACGAGGCTCCAGGAATTAACAGAATACCAATTAAGATATTTCAACAAATGGATGTAACACTGGAGTTGCTCACTAGTGTACGCCAAGATATTTGGAAGACAGCTACCTGACCACCAACTGAAGAGATCTTATTTGTGCCCATTCCAAAGAAACAGGCTCCAACGGAATGCAGAAATTATTGTTAATACCACATTCAAGTCAAAGTATGCTGAAGATAATTCAAAATGGTTGCAGCAATACATTGACAGAGAACTGCCAGAAATTTAAACCAGATTCAGAAAAGGACGTGGAATGAAGGCTGTCACTGCTGAAATCAGATGGATCTTGGCTAAAGCAGGGAATACTACAAAGACCTGTGTTTTACTGACTATGCAAAAGCATTCGACTGTGTGGATCATAACAAATTATGTATAACACTGCGAAGAATGGGAATTCCAGAACACTTACCCAGGGCTGGATTAAGGCATGTGAGGCCCCTAACACTGGTAATCTGTGGTGCCCCCTCCTCTGCTTACTTATGCATTCAAACAGAATGTCAGTTATATATATATATCCATACGTATATGTGGATACTCTGGCGGCGTAGTGCTTAAGAACTACATCTGCTAACCAAAAGGTCAGTAGTTCAAATCTACCAGGCACTCCCTGGAAACTCCATGGGGCAGTTCTATTCTGTCCTATAGGGCTGCAGAGTCAGAATCGACTCGACGGCAACAGGTTTGGTTGGTTTTGGTATACATATGTGTGTGCCTGTGTGTCTCAGCCATCCATAATGTAACTTCTTTTTGGTAGAACAGTGGTTAAGAGCTCAGCTGTTAACCAAAGATCGGCAGTTTGAATCCACCACCCTCTCCCTGGAAACCCTATGGGGCAGTTCTACTCTGTCCTATAGGGTCACCATGAATCAGAATCGACTCGACGGCTACGGGTTTGGGTTTTCGTATAGCATTAGCAACTGAACGAAAAAGTGGCTTATGTCATTTTAGTGGAATGAGATGAACTGGATTATAAAACTTTTAGTGGATGTGGGGTATTAAGATTTTTACTATATACTACATTCTCTACAAAAAGAATATTCCACATATTCTACAACAAATACAGCCGTGAACTTGTTTCAACAATCAATGCAAAATTCTACTCATCTCCCACAATGAAAAATTGACTTTAACCAATTTTGCTTTAAATGGCTGATACTTCAATTTTGATGCTTGTTTTGTATGTAATGCTATAATTATAAATGAAAAGATGTCATAAAAGAAAATTTAATGATCAGAAAACAAATACTACAACTTATTTTATTTTTAGATAGAACTCTCATCTCTAACATGTTATAATTAAAAACACTTCTATTCTTTGCTCTTCCAAATTCTTCAATGATTTCATCACACTTAAGCTGCCGTACAATATCTATATCCATAAAAAGGATACTGAATCAAGTCTTTCTTGAATCACTGTTGTACACTGAGGGTTTGTCAGTCTCTCTAGGGATGAAAATGAGCATTCTGTTGTGCAGTTTGTGATCATTAGAGTTAGAAATACGTGTAATTTCAACATTAGGAAATACACATTGTGTTTTGTCTTCTATTATACGTACATGAATAAAATTGTCTTTTCTAAATCTGTAAACTTAGTTCTCATGTAATGAAATTGTTGCACTTCTCTGTAAAAGGTTTGTATTAAAGCATCAGGATAAGTCTTCTTGGATGCCTTCATGCATTCTTCATCAGATATATCCACACTAAGAGGGAAAATCGATCTGAAAGAGCTTCATACACTTTCGCCCTTCTTTTCACGGAAGATTCAACTGTGTCAATAATGGTGTAGTATGTGGTTATGTGAAATTGATCTATGGCACTCAATGATACTTCTGGAGCACTTCTGTCATTTACTTGTTTCTTTCTAATGTTTCTGTGACGGTGACCTGCCTGATAATCAGTATTTGGCAGTATGTGTTCTGTTGTTTTCAAAAATTTTCAAAATCTCCTCTTAAATTATGTAAATACTCTGTTAATGACTGGTAGAGATCTGTGCGTGTCTTTAAATTTACTTCTGAATCTTGGAGAGCTTGACTCGTTTGATGAAACTGCTACGTTATTCCACATAACCAATATAAATACATACTCTAGTGTTTAGACTTTGTTGGCAATGTTTTCAGCTTCTTTTGGTATCTCCTTTTTGTATCTGGTCTTCACCAGTATTTTCTAAGGCATCTAGAATCTGACTGTGCACTTGTTGCTACAGCATGTGCTTTACAACATGTATTAATTAGAAAGACATTTTAATACTCGATCATTGCCTAAATATGTTTTAAGAACCGCCCATCAGTGAGTAGTGGTGGCAAAAAATGTGTACAAGTAACTGAACAGTTTAATCAACTGCTTCTGGACAACAATATACTGTGCTACATCCTACAAGATTAAGTCAATGTGCAGTACATGGTATGAAAATGACATATTCATTACGTTCTAAAATTTTCTGTGGCATGCTTTTATAATGCCCTGACATACTGGCAGCATTGTCATAGGACTGGTCTCTGCACTTAGAAAAATCAATTTTGCAAACTTCACATAAAGAGTGAAGTACCTGATTTGCAATTTTTTTTACCGATCTGGCTTTTTAAGCTGGTAAATGTGATAAATCACTCAAGAGGTTTTCCATCTGCTGGAGATAACATATCTTAAAACAATACTTAGCTGATCTGTATGAGAAAGATCAAGAGTGGAATCTACAAACTGAAATATCAAGCTATGTTTATTCCACTGAAAACAGCTGATTGAACTTTACCACTTATTAAGTATATTAATTCTTAACATGTTGTTTTAGACATACACGATGGGTTGCCCTTGTGTTACCAAAAATTTTGAGATATGACCTGCTAAAAATGGATCAAACTGAGAAACAATTTCAAGTAAACACCCAAAATTTCCATTTTGTGGGGACCCAAACACTTCATTTATTCCTTGAAAAGACAGTCCACATTCAGAGATTGTTATGACAGAAACAGTACTGACATTCTTCATTAATTTGTGTTC